GATTATAGATATTCTCTTCAAGAATTCTTATAAAGATTCTCAGAGTGTTAACTCTCAGTATTATAGAGAGTAATTGTATAGATTTCTTATCTCTCTTCTCTCTCTTCTCTTACAGAGAATTGAGAGACTCTTCAGTTAATCTCTTTATAATACTCAGTCTGAGTATTCTGTGAAGCTTTTCTATCTTCTCTAGTCTCTCTGTATCTGTTATTCTGATCTTCTTAACATAGTCAGATCTGTGAGAGAGTTCATTCACTGAGTTCTTAATTCTCTTAATATACTCTATCTTGAATCAGAATTCACTCAGTCTCTGAGCTCAGTAGATCTGTCACTATAAGAGTTTCTTAATTAAAGCAAACTGTTGTAAGCTGTTATAATCAGTCTTAATAGTAATCACTATTATAAGACTCTTAAAGTAGTAATATCAGTGATAATAGAATTTCACTATTATAAGAAGCTTTTAATTATAAATATTATAGTTAATCTCTACAGATTATATCTTCTGTGAGAAAGAGATCACTGAAACTCAGTTCTTATTTAACTGTAGTTATAAGACTATTTCTGAAATTATAAAGAAGAAGATATCTATCTTCAATCTGATTAAAAGTAAGAGATTAAAGTAAAACAGTATTACTATATCTGTGAATATCTGTTTTAATTTTATAAAGACTCTGTAAGCTTCTGAGATAAGAAAGTTCTCACAGCTCTTTCTTCTTAATAAACTTTTCATTCTTTATTTATAGAATAACTTCTTCTTGTTTTCACTCTTCAGCATGTCTGTAAGAGTGAAAAAGATTCTCATAAATATAAAGATAAATTATCTATAGAAATTCACAAAGCTCAGAAATATCTGAATCTTATGAATACTAGTTAACTCTGATTATAATAGAATAGTCTTAATTTATAAAGATTTCATCTGAGTGTTATCTGCAGTGATTATATATTCTAGAAAATTAATTTAACAGACACTGAAGTTATACTTTATAAGCTTAATATACAGTTCTGTCTCATCTAAGATCTTCAATATAGTTTATATATGCTTAGTGTATTCTTTCTTCTTCATAAAGTACATCATCACATTATTCAGATATATTATTACAAAGATATTCAGATATACACAAAGTGTTTTATTAATAAAAGACTGAAATTTCACAGAGATATTAGTTAAATCAAAGAACATCACTAGATATTTAAATAATCTCAGTGCAGTTCTACAGACAGTCTTCTATTTATTCTCAGACTGTATTCACAGTCATGTATATATATTGATTATATTCAGTTGTATGATTATAACAGCTTCTATGAGACAGTTGATTACATTCTCAATCAGAGATAGAAGATAGTAACTCTTTATAGTCTTGAAGTTCAGATCACAGTAGTTTATACACAATCTGAGATATTCATTCTTCTTCTTCATAAATATCACAGAGACTTTTATAAAGATTTATAAAGATTAGATAAAGTAATTCTTCAGATTCTTCTTTATATAAGTCTGCAAGACCTCTGTCTTATAATAAAAGAGCTTATAGATTAGTTCTTAGAAGAGTTTCTACTCTTCTATTAAATCTATCATCAGATTCTTCTCAGAGTAAAAAGAAAGCTCAGCTATCTTAGCTGAACTGAATATCTCTGCAAGATCTTGATATTTCTCTAATATCTGAAGCTCAGTTTTTATAACTGTGAAGTTCTTAAACATTTACAAAGTTATTATATAGATAAGCTTATCTACTTTAATTAACTCTGCAGTATCAACTGATTCTATCTTCATAAGTAAGTCTGTTATTATTATTATTATCATTATTCTTTCATTATACTTATATACAAGAGAAGCTTATGATGAGTTCTTACGTGATGTTAAATACAGGTCAAGTGTTGATTATACAGAAGAAAATACAGGTGTTAAGATCATACTAAGATAATAAGAACATAGAAAAATACAAAGAAGTGACAATTAGATACATATAATAATAACTTCTCAGCTCAGGAATATAGAGTGATTCATTGAAGCAATTTGTACATCTCTGTATTTATTAGAAACCTGAGGTGCTTGAGTTCCGGATTTAATGTATACTCTGCGGGTTTCGAACCCACGCGCCTTGATTTCCCATGCCAAGGTGCTACTGAGTTGCCGCATTAACCATTGAGTCACTGAGGTCAAATAAGTCTGTCAATACTGATCAGAAGTATAAACCTGACTTGCAGACAGCTATGTGTGAATTGTATCTTTAAAGTTATATAAGTTCTAAGTATATATTATCTGTTATATCTGTGATAATCACAGTTTCTGCAAATCTTCTTCAGATTTCAGAGAGATCTTGTAATTCAAAGATAACTCTTATAAGTTTCTTAGTTCTCAGATCTGAGTTCTTACATTCTGCTTATTATAAGAGCAGATTCTCAGTTTTCATTATTCAGCTTATTTATTTTACAAGCTTTAAAGACACTACAGTGATCTGAGATCTCAAGTTTATTAATACTTTTTATACTGATAGAATAGTAGTACTGCAGTGCAGTCTCTTTCTATAAGTATGTATTTTCATTAGAGAAGTAACAGATTCAGATATTAGCTTTAAGACTTTTAAGAAGACTGTTACTGACTCTGTCTATAACTTCTTAAATTTCTATTTTAATTTATCTGAACAGTTTGTATAGAGATATTCTAATTTAGAATAGATAAAGTAAAAACTCTTTTTCTTAATCTCTCTATTATATACTTTATTTATAGAAGTTTATAAAGCTCTCTCTCTTTACTTAATAATCAGATATAAATCTCTCTATATCTTATTATCTTTTTTCAGTAAATCTGTTCTCTGTTATTCTAACTCTTATAGAGTTAGTTAATAATCTACTCTTCATAGATTTATAACTCTTACAGTGATATATAGATAATAAATAAAAGTTATCAATTTCTTCAGAGTTAAGAACTTAATATCTTACTTAATATACTTATTCTATATATCTTTATTCAGTCTCTTTATAAATATCTTTATTCAGATCTTATTTCAGAACTCTGTTTTCACAGATCTTAATTTATATTATAATTTTATAAAGTACTGTGAGTAGTCTTTATCAGATTTCTCATCTCTTTTTCTAATATAAATAATTACAGCTTAGATATTCTCTATTTAACTTATAAAATCTCTCAACTGATTCTTTAAATAGATCTTAAGAATAGATTAGTATAATCTCTTATAATTATTCTCTAGATAATTTAATCAGTTCTTGACTTTAATGTAGTAGAGATCTGTTATTATATAGATAATAATTTCTTCATCTTTTATATCACACAGTTAAGCTTATAAGTTAATTTTAAATACAAACTTATAAAAGCTTTTATAGATTGTGATTCAGTAGAAGATCTTAAGTAATTACAGCTTAAGAAAGTTTCTTTTTAGTTTATAGATATCTCTGAAAATCATGTCTAAAGACTCAGTTTAAAAGTGTTTACAGATAGTGAGTATTTCTTGTAGAAAAATAGCTTAATTCTATAGAAGATACTTAAAAATATTCTTCACTGAGATTAATTTATTTATAAATTCAGAGAATTTCTCTGTCACAGATATAGAGAATAATATTTTATAAGTAATTAATAAGTTCTCTGAGACTTCTTTTATAGAGATTATTTATAGTTTAGATAACTACTTCTGAGTATCTGCAGTAGAGTTTATAGAGATTAAAGTATATAAGTTTCTAGTTCTTTTAGTTATAATAGACAGTTACTGACTGATAGAGCTTGAAATATAAAAATAAGTACTTACAGACAATTATTCAGATGTTTGCAGCTTGACATAATATATACTGTTAATTACTAGAAGTATTCATAGTAGAAAAATAAATGCAGAGATTAAATATATAATAGTATTCAAGCTGAGTTATGAATAGTATTCATAAACTTCAGTCTATATATTTGTGTGTAGTCAAGAGCTACTAACTCTATTAATTATATAAGAGATAGAAATAGAGGTAAAGAATCTATGAGAAGCGGGATTTCTTACAACTCTATAAAGAAGAAAGAACACTGTAAGAGGCCTTCGCTCAATAGATCAGTATAATATTTATAGGTCTTATATAACAAAGTGAAAAACATTAGAGAAGAAAAGAAAGAGAAAGTGTGAGAATTGACAATTAAAGTGAATATTTATATGTGTACACAGTGAAGCTTCAGGGCGGAAGAATAGGAATTCCATGAGTTTTTTGACTGAGGATCAGCGACCGAGGATTGGAGCTTTCGGCGGAATCTGTGAAGTGTAATGGAATAGTCTATATGATTGATCGGGCGCAGCCCGCCACAAACACACTGAGTATATATAAACTGTGTTAAAGGTCTTAGATGAGATAGAACTATATATTAAGCTTATAAAGTATAACTTTAGTATCTGTTAGATTAATTTCCTAGAATATATAATTACTGTAGATAATATTCAGATGAAATCTTTGTAAATTAAGACTATTCTATTATGACTGAAGTTAACTAGTATTTATAAGATTCAGATCTTTCTAGATTTTGTGAATTTTTATAGATAGTTTATCTTTATATTTATGAGAATCTTCTTGACTTTTACAGACATGCTGAAGAGTGAAAACAAGAAGAAGTTATTCTATAAATAAAGAATGAAAAGATTATTAAGAAGAAAGAACTGTAAGAACTTTCTTATCTCAGAAGCTCACAGAGTCTTTACAAGATTGAAATAGATATTTATAAATACAGTGATACTGTTTCACTTTGATTTCTTACTCTTCTCTCTATATATTAAAGAAAAACCAACTTTTCCGTGCAAAAAACGCTGTAACGTGCAGCCGCTGCGGCTATTGCCTGTGACGATCTCTCTAGATCACGTCACCAATCACTATATTAAGCTCTTTGTAGATAGCTTCATCAATACAACTTTCAACTATTTTACATTTTGTTTGATATGCTGAGTTGATTTTTGGAAGAATTCTGAAACTATCTTTGAAATTTTAATTGTGAATTTACAGAGTATGTATGAGTTGATGACAGTTATTATTATTATTATTATTATTATTATCATTTTCCCCTTCAGACCCCCCGGAGGGGTTGAGACCTCATGATCTGAAAACGAAAGGGGAGTTAGAAGTACTTTCAAAAAAAAGATCGAAAAATATTCACAAACTTTCGTGAGTCTGGAACTTACATACTTCGAACTGGATGTTTAAAGTCGGGTCATGTCATCCGCATTTGAAGATGGTGACGTTTCCCCCATTGATGGGGTATGGCTCCTATTCATACATGGAGACATTTAAAAGGGAGCAAAAGAGAATAGGAAAGAAAACAGGTATCTATAGGTTGAAGAACTCAGTGGGCTAAAAGGGAAAAGCAAGGAAGTAAGAATCAACCAACCCTTAGAGAGGAGACAGAATGAGACTATAGCATAGCAGAATAATGCAAACGCCAGTTGTTCATCTGGTTCACGAAAAAAAAAACGAGCAGGAGGAAAAGTGGGAAAAAGGATAGAGTACTGAATTATACATCCCGCAATCTCACACCCTAGCAGCCCTCGTCGTCTTATCATAAAAGTCAAGCGTCATAGCTGCAAGGAAACAAGGGATATCCTTCCGCTCCTCTACCCAAAACTTGATCAGACTCCGAATCTCCATCGCAAACAGACTATTCGGACCGCCAGAGATCTTCATCGTCCCATTCTCTCCATCAAAAATTATAGAATTCTCCTCTCCATCACCCATACTCCCAGGCCCCCTCGCATCGGGAGACGCATCGCGATCTCCGTGCCGGTAGGCTGGCGAAAGATGGAACATGGATGTTACGCGGACACGGCCATTGGGTAAAAAATCAAGCTTGTATCCGAGAACTGACGCAACAGCTTCTCGGAATTCGGACGATTTTGCAGTCCATATCTCCTTCAGGCGTCGCATGCGTTTCTCTTTTTCCGCGACGGTCTTTCCCATCTCGCGGAGCTCCATTTCTTTGCTTTCGAGGGTGGAGAGGGGTACGACTTTGACGTTCGCGCGCTCGTTGCGTAGCTGGGCTAGGAGGTCGCGATTCTCAGCGCGCAGGACCGCGAGAGTGGATAATTTAACTTTTTCAGCTTCCGCGGTGGGATTCGAGCGAAGTTCAAGTATGCGAGTTCGGGATTGGGATTGGAGGGTGGAAAGGTGGGATTTTGTAGCCTCGAATTCGCGTGTGAGCAGCTCGATTGATTGTTCTGCTTTTGAAAGGTTGTCTTGCAGGCTGCGGTTTTTCCGTGTGAGCACAGCGAGCCTTTCGCTTTCTGCGTCGCTATCTGCTGGCGAGAGAGGGCGTTTAACTCCGCGTGGAGCATTAGTATCCTCTACAGGTGTCTTTTCTTGCTTTGATAGCTCTTCATGGAGCTTATGAAGTTCTTCACGATGTTCGCTGAGGAGACTCTCGAGGTGCGCTATGTGATCGGATTTTTGCTGATCGAAGGTTGTTTCGTCTGCGTTCATCGTGGTTTCTTCTGCGTCGAAGGTCTTTAGCTGTGCGCGGAGATATTCCACCTCTCTCATCGCTAGGGTTCGCTGGCGTTCTAATCGTGTCTTCGCACGAGAATCGAAGCCATTTCCAACGGAATTACCTGCACGTAGTTTTGCAATCTCCTGTTGAAGATTCGATTTTTCCGTTTCCAGGTTTCGCACCAACTCAGCCTTTTCAGCCACCTCAGCCTGAATAGTCCCAACTTTATTGAGCAATGATGCATTCTCAATGCGTGCTTCGACAAGCGCTCGTGCAACTTCTTCGGGTGACTCGAATTCGAGATCTTGGCCGTCCGACTGTAACAAACGGGTCCAAGACCGCCGTTCATCCTCCAAAGCTTGATTTTGAATTTGTACATTTCTAAGCTCCACCTCCACGTCTTGCATTAAGTGCAGCCGGTTCTCAAGTGCCTTTTTCTGTTCTTCTACAACCTCAACATTCTTCTGCGATTTTCGCAGCGGACGTAACTCAGCTTCCAGTCGCTTAGCATGTGCTAATTGCTCCGAAAGTTCACGTTTTAGGACATTGAGAGTTCCTGAATCCGTTCCTTCTGATTTTAACCGAATGTTTTCACTTTCAAGTGCCCCGGCATCAGCCTCCAGTTGGGTTAATTTATCCTGAAGGACCTGCAGGCTATCTTTGGTCTGATGAAGATCGGTTTGGACTTCGTCAAGGGTTTTCTGGAGTGATGATCGAATTGCTTCTAATTCATTAATCTGGTGCTTGTATTGTCGCTCCTGGTCGGACAACTGGGATTGGGTGTCGTCAATCTTATCCTGTAGCGACCGGTTATGATCTTCCAAGTTTCGTATCCGTTTATCAAAGGCCGCCTTCTCATTTATCGCAGATTCCTGCACCGTTTTCAGCTCAGTTGTGAGTGACTCGATTTTATGCTGGGCTCTGTTGCTGCTACTTTCGGCTGCCTATTTTGAACCAGTTTGTTGTTAGCCTTGTCTTGAAACCGAGAGTTCGCTAATTGCTCGTTGTTAAAGAGGGAAAAAAAGATAGCAGATCCAACCTGAGCCTTTCGAAAATCAGCATCTGCCCTAATTTGTAATTCGCGAAGCTCCTTCTCATGGTGAAGAGCTGTCAGGTCCCGCTCCTGTTTCAAATTGTCTAGTTCATATCGCAATGTGTTTATTTCCACGCGTAGCTCCTCGTTCCCAGCATCTAACATTCATTCATCTATTAGTTTGTTCAATTTTCATATGTGAGAACATCGCAAGAAGCAAAACTAACCGGCTATTGGTGGTTGCCCCGAGTGGATACTCTGTCGGAATGACGGATTCCCAGCATTACCACCACCATCACCACCGCCAGGGGAAGGAGACGGGGAGGAAACTCCTGCTATGAAATTATATGTTGGCTGGGTAGTAGCGAATCTGCCGGTATTCATCTATAGGAGTAGATTTTATTTTGGTCAGCTTATTTTCTCCCGAGAGACGGAGTAAAGTAGTTCTGTTTACTCGATTGTCTCTCGCGACGGGATACCTCGTCAATGTCTGCCTAGCCTCGCACACGGATTACAACAGTTGGGATATAGGATCCCTATATACATGAAGAGTTTCTCACCTTGACCGTCAAGACACCACGTCCATAGAAATTGGATAGCTGCCCTCAGTTTGCCATCCTATCATTGCTCCTTCAATAATAATGCCTCAACAACCTTTGGAATGCGTCGCGCCAAGAATTAAATTCCAAATTCGGTTTAGCTTTTTATTTCAGAGTGATTATATAATTATTTTAGTTAAATTAAGTTAATTATATTAAGAATTATTTCCTGTACACCTAGAGCACATACCAGCAGTATGTTCAATAATCTCATATACATCACACTGTGATGCTACATGTTTTCATGATTGAGGCTCAGCAGCCTCAACCACCCCTTGTTCCCATTCATTGACACTTTTTATGTGACTCAAGCCTTCTTCAACCCCCAAAGCACCCACTTGAGCTATATATGTACAGCCTTTTTCCCGCTTTCTCTTTTGTTTTGGCCATGCAGTCGGTCAGTCAGGGTGGTGTGGAGGATTTTGCACGCACGTGCAGCAGCTCGGATACCTGAAAATTTGCCTTTCTCTAATGCCTGAATGGTCAATTGAACTCATCCTTCTTGATAGAAGGCCTGTCTTTTCTTGTTGACATTTTGAAGGTTCAATTGATGAATGCATTGTGTGGTGGAGTGAGTAGGTGGTTTGTACGAATAGGTGGTGGATTACGTTAGTTAACTAAGCTCCAGACGCAGGTTTGGGACACTTAAAAATGGGCTACGAAACAAACCACAATAGTTGCACTCTATTTCACACTAATTTCCTGAGCTGTATGAGGTTTTACAGAGGCAGTTTCGCTCATCTGCGGCGTTGGGCGCTCTTTGGAATCGATCAAAGATAAGTTTAACGCAAACGATTGCGCCCATTTACGCTGTTTGCCCTATCAACGGTCGTTTGAAGGAAAAAGGGGCAAGTGGTTGGATAGTCCTGCTCTGTGGAACATGATCTGCCAAGGCCACCGTCCCCACAACCGATGAGTTAAAATCGTTGATCCTCCACAGTCAATCGCGAATGGCGCCAGGTTGCTGCGCTAATCGTTTTGGGCTCTCTCCCCATATGTCTGCGTTGGGGTTCCGCTACCGAGACGCATTCTCAAGTTCAATCTCACGCAAGGAAGTACCCGAAACCCCGAAGCTACCTACCTGCCCAATGACAAGGGTTGGGATTCCAGCACTCAACAATCCCATACCTGGCGGGGAAGGCTCAAATTTCCCTACCGTCATGGAAGCTTATTAGATTTCATGACCTGAAATTTACGCAGTAAACGCATCCTAATTCAACCAGTGGAACCCAAAGTTTGGCGGCTTTCAGATGTGGAAAAGTTCCGCTGCGGCTCCAGCACCTTATTTCAACATCACGAGGTATCAATGCCCGATCCATGTCACTGACTACCTCACCGGGGAGGAGGACAGTTTCCGTTGAAAACATTGAACCCCAGGCGTTTTTAGCCGTGAGGGATATGAGCAGGATCATTTCAATGTGTAATACAAACCTTAAGACAATACATGGTTATGAGCGATTAGTCTATGTTGCACAGTGCTGTGCAGAGCACGCGCATCCAGCGGGGCACAAACTCACAGTCGTAGCCAATGATGGCACTTCCGCATACTGGATCAGCATAACAGATCCTAGGTCTCAGATATGTCGCCGGTCAGATCGGCGGATCGTTACTCCAAACAGGATACAGCTTCCAGAGCCACAGCTTCAGGGGACTCGCTAGACAGTAGAGATCTCTGCCATTTTTTGCCTCTTCCACCATACCAAACTTTCTTCAGGAGGGCAGTGTAAGATTTCCAGCCCTGGAGTCAGTATGAACCAGGTGACCTGACTTCCCGAGCAGCCAGATTTTCTAACACGTTTTCCCGAGATGCCCAGGTACTTCGGTACAGCTCATATTGAAGTTAACTATGCTAATATCCTGCCATATATATAGCACATCCTCAAGCCCTCTATTTTCATATGACTTTCGACGTACACGCACACTCCTCTCTCCGTGTGCGTTTGGGCTGTATAGGTAGAAACATAACCCAGGGCAATGACCGAGTTGCACATGCACTCTGATGGGAAGCGGTGAGCCACACTCTTTACTTGAACAAAATATGAATATGAATAACTCGGGCTAAATTGCTTAATTAACAGGTCTAGCTCTTCCCCAGAACAGTACAGTCCACAGCGCTACTTCAACCCTCCGACAATGACTAGCGAAAAGCTCGATAATGGCAAGCTGGGCCTCAATTATGTCCAAAAACCCAAACGTGGACGCCCACTGGCTGTTCTGTGTGCCGTTCTTTTTATGACTTGTTGCTTCCTGCAAACCGCCGTGTTTGTAGCCAGTTGTGAGCTTGCTCTTACGTCCTTATTTGTATGATTATTCTAATGCGACATGCTTAGGGTGGAATTTGAGCAAATCTGACTCGGAAAAGCATCCCGCCATATCTGAAGCAAATGGTGTGTTTGTTTGAAAAAGATTTTCGTTCATCCGGGCTAACTCGGGATTTATAGAACGCTTTCCGAAGATGGCTCGCTATCATTCGCCGGAGAAAGATTTATGTCTATCTCCGGAATGCATTCATGCATCATCGGCTTTTCTCTACAACATGCACCCCCATCCCGAGGCCATCGAGCCATGTACGAATTTCGATGAGCTTGTTTGCGGTGGATTTTATGAGAACGATATTCCATCTGACGAAAGCTCCATTTCTACACTGGCGCAAGTAGACGACCGTGTCCAAACAACTCTACGCCACATTTTGGAAGCTCCTCCCACTGAGAGTAATGACGAAAATTTCATAATGCTCAAGACAGCTTACGATGCTTGTATGAACAAAACAGCCCTTGAGGAGATTGGGGCAGCGCCGTTACAGAAGCTAGTTGACAGAGTCAACCTCGACGGTGGAAACCAAAATATTTTCACCGATACCGTCCTCGCTCTAATTGATATAGGCGTCAATTATCCTATTAGTTTATACATTGATGTGCGTATTTCCTCATTGGCTTTCTCTTTTTGACCTGGATCTGACATCTATAGGCTGATGAAACAAATCCCGATGCGGTTATTATATATTTATCGTTTACCACGCCCGTTGGGTTACCGTCCCCTACAAATTACAATAACACGAAGATCGTTAATCTGTACAAAGAAGTTATGGAACAGCTATTTGATCATTTCGGGGTCTCTGACGCGGCTTCTGTCATAGACTTCGAGAAGAAACTCGCCGAATTACAAGCTTCCAGTGAGAATACCTCAGAGAAATATCCACTCTTTGATGCTCAGGTTCTCTTGCCACAAGTATCCCTCCAGCGAATCATCTCTGCCAAGGCACCTAAGGGATATAAAGCTAAGCAAATTGGGGTTTTGGGGGTGGATACTGTGAAAGCACTATCCAAGCTCCTCGCTAAGACTTCAAATCCCGTCCTCGAATCGTTCCTGAAATGGAAGGTGATCCAAAGGTATTCTAGTGATATTGAAGATCCGATTATCTCTCTTTACCGCCGATTCAACAGAATTCTTGCTGGCCAAGACCCTGACTCTTTCACAGAGCGATGGGAGATGTGCATTCCCACCGTAAATTCTGGCCTAGGCTGGATCCTAAGCAAGGTTTTTATTGAAAAAGCGTTTTCCGAGGAATCAAAGAAATTTGGCGACCAAATTATTTTGGACATCAAGGATGTATTCGTGGAGACTCTTAAAGATACCATGTGGCTATCTGAGAAGGTCAGAAATGTGGCAATCAAAAAAGTTGAAAATATTGTTCAGAAAATCGGCTATTCGACCAAAAGTCCAGATGTCCGCAGCGCAGAAGCATTGAAAGAGTGGTATAGAGGTCTCACGATCACGAGCGCATTTTTCCAGAATCGGGTCAATGTCCAAAAGTTCCTCTCCAACAGAGAATGGGCCAAGCTGGGGAAGCCAACTGATCGGGATGAATGGCTAATGACCATGACAACTGTTAATGCATACTACGATCCACCAGGCAACGAGATCGTTTTCCCCGCTGGTATTATGCAAAACACACTATTCTATAATCCATCAGTACCTAAATACCTTACTTATGGTGCTTTTGGTGCGGTGGGAGGCCACGAGCTTACGCATGGTAGGCCAATCACCCGGAAACTTCTGTCCATTACGATGAATTGACCTATTGTTCTAATATCGTTCGAATGATTAAGCTTTCGACGATAAAGGCAGAAACTTTAACGAGTATGGAAATAAAACAAATTGGTGGGACGAGAAGACAGAGAAAGAATTTGCAAATCGTGCTGAATGCTTCATCAAGCAATATTCCAATTTCACCGTTCCCGGCCCAGACGGGAAGGCATTGCATGTCAAGGGCGAAAAGACCCTGGGTGAAAACATTGCGGATGCAGGGGGCTTGAAAGCCGCCTACCGTGCATGGAAAAAACGCGACGCTGTCTCCCCTTCCCCTTCCCTCCCAGGGCTTGGCAATTACACAAATGAGCAACTCTTTTTCTTGTCCTTTGGCACGTTCTGGTGTGCGAAGTCGACGCCGGAGCGGACAGCAATTCGGATAGAGACGGATGAACATTCGCCCCCATCTGCTAGGATATTGGTACGTTTACATCGATATAATACGTCCATTCCCCTCCCAGGGTCCCCCCCTCTGGCATTCTCCTCGTTGGAACTGCCAAACGTACAACTCAAACAGTTGACCCTATCTCCACGTACCCACCTTTCCATCCGCACCATTGTCCAAACACGTTATGCTATGTAGATAACAAGAGGCTAATGCACTGACTTCTCACGCGATCGTGGTCCTTGTAGGGAACCGTGGCGAATTCTCCCCATTTCAGAGCCGCGTTCAACTGCCCGGTTAAGGAGCCGACGTGCAACCTATGGTAATTTTTGTTTATCTGCTTTATATTTTGACTTGAAAGAGTTAAATCGGTATAATCTTCACTTCATACGGTATTTGCTCTCCCTGTCCCTCTTTCATCATGTGGATGTAAAGCCATGGCGTGTTTCTCAAGTCTACTCGAACCGACTTGGTCTAACGATGGTATATCGGGCATTTTATAATCATAGATACGTACGCGTACATATCGATGCTCCTGAGAGCCTAATAATGATCTTCTAAATATCTTTTTTTAGATTGATTTGGTGAATAAGTGATGTCATATTCATTCGTTCATCCCGTAAACTATTCTAATCTTTCGTTGCATATATTCTGTTTGATTTTTATCCCATTTTATCTTTCGTCAGAAGGGGGAAACTGAAACTTTAGACGGGAAAATTGAAGGTAAGGAGGTCAAGTTTACTTCAAGGTTTCCCGGAATAGATAAACCAACGTGCAACATACACAAGGAAAGCGAAGCCACAGCCCCTTTTAAACTCCCTCCTATGTTTTAATTCCCCTTCCATTTTCCCCTCATCATCCGTAACAAACCAAATCCCATAAAATGCAAGTACCAGCTTAAGATTGACTACTGGGTACTACTGCTTCTGTGCACCCTTTTACAGGGCAAAAAAGGGGTTGCCTTATGACTTACTTAAATCAACCCCCTGCTCCGCCTCCGCATTGCCATACGCCTTCAACCGAATGGCCTGGGTAGCAATGAATCCAGTCGTATCAGTCGGCTGGAAATCCTCCAGCGAATCCATACTGCTCTGCTCAGGGCTATACAATTTGCTCGTCTGCGAGCTGCGGCCGAGAACGCTGGTGAGGCCCTTGTAGCAGCGCAGACGGACCTGGCCGTTAACATCGTCCTGGCTGGCTATGATGCTCTTCTCGATGAATTTCCGTTCGGGGGAGAAGTAGAGGCCGTTGTAAAGGAGTTTAGACCAGGTGATAGTTACGAATTGATCGCGGAGAAGGCGGACTTCGCGGTCTAGGACGAGTCCTTCTAGATCGAGATGGGCGAGGCGGAGGATGGTCATGGCGGGAGAGTCACTGCGATTTGGTTAGTCAGGAATTATTTCCCCGAGTGGGCGAGGGGGCAAGGGTGAATTACTAGCAGCCGCGCTGGACAGAAAGAGTTAGTAATTTTCTTGGTGGGATGGATTTTTATGAGACTAGCTTACAGATTTGAGGCCAATGTAACGGTTCTCGACGATGTCAATGCGTCCGATACCTAGGGACATTGTTTCATTAGTTCCCACGTCTTTTTCCTGTATGGCTTTTGCTGCCCAATGAGGTCGCAGGCTTACCATGCTTGCGGCCAAGCTCGTTGAGTGCGGTGAAGATCTCGATGGAATCCGTGATCTTTTTACCCCCAAGGGTCAGCACACTCGGAATACCCTTCTCGAAGGCAAGAGTGAAATCCTCTGGGGCGTCGGGAGCATTGCGGGGGTCATCAGTCAATTTCCACATGTCATCTGGGGGCGTGACGTCGGCATCCTCAAGGATACCTGCTTCGTAGGAGCAGTGCGCAAAGCTACGTTGGACAACATCAGTATAGGCGGCCAAGAGACCGGTTGGTATACCGCTAGAAAGGGTGGTGAGAATACTTACTTCTCATCCATAGACCTAGTTGCCACAACATATGTAAGCATCGATGTCGTAAAAAATAAGGGCAATGTCAGACGTTCAATTGAAATATACGCACCATGGCTTAGTCTTTGTAGATGTAACGGGGATGTTGTGTTGCTCAGCATATTCGAGCAGGTCATTGCGGCCGGCGAATCGGTTGTAGAATTCAGGGAGACGCCACGGTGCGATAACTTGGATGGATGGCTATTGTGATTGTAAAACAATGAAAAAAGTCGGGTGAGCTGATCTGGCCACGCAAGTTGTGTAAGACCTGGCCATGCGTACCTGGATAGCATAGAAAGCAAGCTCGAATCGGACTTGGTCGTTGCTATTGCTCAATGAGCTTCCGTTAAAACAAGATGTAGCGGGACAGTTATCCTTACCCCTTGCCGGTGCAACCTACGACATCAATTGTTAGCATGGGACTTCTTCCTGGCAGATAGCCCAACATATCAGACTTTACATATGCGGCGTACCGTGACTGACAGCGATACAACCCTCCTCCTTTGCGCAGCGCATCATCGCACGCGCAATTACAGGGCGAGCACTTTATATACATAAGCATTGGAGCTAAATGGAGTAGGTGAAAGGGCTCGCATACAGACTCGTTCTAAATAAGCGGTCAGTGGGCGGTCAACAAGAGGAAATACCACCGGGATTGAAATTGTAGCTTACCCAAGGAGATATCTGTCCTCCCATATAGCCTACATGCGCATTGTTAACATCACTTGGGTCCCTGAATGCGCTTCTGGTATACGGAAACCCAGCCAATAGAGGGGTAAAATCAGAATCAAAGATCCATGAGCTGCTGTTGACTCACGTTGCACTGAATGGCGCGATAGCATAGATCTTCAACAAACTCGCGCTTCAGATCCGAAACAACCAGCTTCAGCGCACCAATCGATAGAGCCTTGCGCTCAGCTTCTTTGAAGTCCTCTGCCTGGCCGACATCTGCGAGGAAGCAGACAACGTCATACCCTCGCTCGATGAGCCACGCAAGGATGCAGCTGGTGTCAAGGCCACCGGAGTATGCCAGACAGACCCTCTCTTTAGCAGGCATGATTATTTGCGTGTGGAACGGTGCGGTCTCAGGGCGTTGAGGGATATGGATGGTTGTTGTTGCGGAATGAGAAAGAGAAAAAAGAAATCGTGACCGATAAAATGACTCCACCAGACAACCCCATACCGGAAGAACGTAGGGTTATTACAAGACCGGATTATGGTTGTTCCACCATTTCAATCAGCGACACGGTCGCCGAGCCGTAAATCGTAGTTATTATTATTACGTAATCAACCACGTAACGTCTTATAATGTTGGTGATTACTACACCTACCCTAGTCACGTGCCACCCCAACCTATTTAGTGTAACTCGCGTAGTTAGATTACAACACAACAACATTATTCTCTAAGAGGTTATGAAGCCCTTTGCAAGCAATGAATAACTGCAATAATATGTCAACTAGACTGGCCGCTGAGACCATGAATTTCACATTTGATCTCATTTGATCTGATCTCATACATTTCTTGATATGAATCCTGCTGAGACTGACTATTAAAAAAACATGTAAAGTGACTATATATCAGATCTTAAAATAAAATCATGACTTGAAAAAAATGAGAAAGTGATTTCATTTGATCTCATTTAGTCTCATTATTGATATAAAGTTACTATTTTTAGACATTTTAAGGTTTTTTTTAGACTATTTTTAATTTTTTAAAAAGTAACACTTTTTGATAATACTTAAATAAGATTTAAAATCATTTAAAGTAATAAAAATAATTTAAATTGAGAAGTAGAAATTATAATCTTATTTAAAAAATATAATAAGAGTAGACAGTAAGTCTTACTGAGACAGTATAAAACTACTATCTAATGTTAAAATCATGTAATGAGATTAGTTAAATTAATAATAAAACTATTAAAAAATCTGATTCTAATCTCAGACATAGTTACATAGTCAGTCTAATGTTAACTATATCTTTATATATTATTACATGTGTCTAGATGTTTTTTTTATAATTGATTAAACTCATAATTAATCTAAGATTTAAAAGAATATCTGACTTAATAAAAGAATACATATTTTCAAGATGAAGAAATAAGAAAATATTAGAGTAGTAAACACAAGATCACAGATCACTGTTAATATTAATAATGAATTGAAAGATGACTTCTGAGATATTTAAGCTGAATAATACAATTGTGAAAGAATAATCTGATAAGTTCAACAATGAATATAAAGACTCAGTTAAAGATATCAATGAGATGTTAGATAATACAGAGAGAGAGTTTAAGTAACTGAAATAATAATAGCTCTGTAAGTAAGAAGACTTATATAAGACTAGAAATTACAAGACTTCAGCATAAAGTTGAGTGAATAAAGATAGACAGAAATAAGAATAAAGAGCTTAGTATAGATTTGATAAACTATTTTTAATAAAAGAGTATAATATCTGTATTAATAAAGATTCTTAATAAATTCAGAGATTAAGTAAGATTTATAAAGAAGTCTATTATACTTACTAACTCTGTAAATTATTCTATATAAAAGAAAGAGATTCTGCTTATAGTAATATAATCTGAAATGAATGATATTCTTAATAATAAGTAGATTAATTCTGATAAGAATACTAGTATAAATATGTAACATTTTTAATTAGAATAGAATATCTGACTATATAACTATATATAATCTGTGATTACTCTGCAGATCAAATCTCACTTTATTATACTCAAGACATTTCAACTATCTGCTTATTCTCTATAATCTGTTATAGAGAATAATTTCACTGAGAGATCTACTATCTGCAGAACTTGTCTGTTCTAAGAATTAATTTGTAATTCAAAGATTGCTTGAGTCAGTATATAATTACAGACATACACCGGCTTCTTATATACATTATCTAAATTAATTAGTGGCCGCTAGAGTCTCTTTACATTTGTAAGCATGTTCAGAAGTGTGTTCAGAAGCAGCTGCATTATTATTCAGCAGTTGTACATTCTTTCAAATCACATTCTTTCTCATCAGATTCAGTCACACTTATGTGATTATAATATACACTCTAGCTTCATACAGATTAGCATGTCACTAGCATTTACAATAGTATAGCTTATCTCTGATTCAGCTAGCATTCTGTGTATACTCTTACAAAGAAACTTTCACTATATTACATCACTCATTCACTAACTTTTTTCATTCTTCAATTATCTTCTTTATTCTCATCATCATTGAATATTATTATCTTATCTCAGATTTTTACTTCTTCTTCTGTTCAATACTATCTGTTCATCTATCACATTGTATATGTTTCTGGCAATGATCTCTTATTTTCATGACAAGTGTCATTGTAGTGCTCATATCAGGCAGTTTATTAGTAGTAAGTGTAATATATTATAAAACATGATCAGAACTTGTTTCTCTTCTAATAATTATCAGAACATACTATCATGAATGACATATCTTCTTCATCTTCTTATATGTCTCTGACTCTCTTTTCTTCAGCAGCATCTGATTATGTTTTTCTAATCATTTTACATGACTGCAGATACTGATATTTTTATTTTAATTTATGTAGCATTCTCACACATTGACAGATCTGCATCTGCTAATAATTATAATCTCAATGTTAAATCATTGATTGAGAACTTGAAGAATGTGATAATGAAGGAATTGTCTGTGTCATATATAATCAGATCTTCTGTATTTCTCTCTATTCTCTCTGTTTCTTTCTCTACTACTCTCTCTCAATCTTCTATATCTATCTCTGTGTCTGATTCTCCTGCTCTTACTACTTCTACTTTCTCTGATTCTGCTGCCTCTGCTTTCATTACTAGCTCTTCTCATTTCAAGAAGATATTGTATAGACTTAATGAATCATATTTCTCAGTATGTACACTTCTGCTCTTCTTATCAATTTCTAGAATAATTTATTGTATGAAGACTGTATATGACATAACTATCTAGAGCTCAGTCACAGACACTAATTATTACATTTATTTTAAATATTCATGATGAGATAATTATTCATTTATATCAGAGAATCACTCTCTCTTTTAACAGTGTTAAGATTGTAAGTCTTTCTTTTTTTATCTTCTCTTTCTGACACTGATTTTTCTGTTCTTAGAGAAAATTATTATGAATTTTATTATACATGAAGTCATAGTATTCACAGATATCAAGAAACTTTTTACAACTATTAAATTCAATATTATAGATATATTCACTCTGATAAATATCTTCAGAATAATCAATCTGTATAAGTCTATTCTCTAGTATTTATCATCTGACTTTGTAATACAGATAAAGAATATCTGTGTTTTTAGAAATAAGAACACAGATATTGTACTCTTTTACATCTATGAGTGTGAGACTTATATATCTTATCTGAGATGTTATTATAAGAATAAGCTGTTCACATGCTATGTTCTGCTTTCTGCATTTCTCTGTGTCTCTCTCTCTCTTTCTGAGAAGCCTCATGCATGTTGTAATTATATATACAATTCTAAGATCAGCAGATATTTATTCAGTAATTATTATCTCTGCTTTTACAGTTATGTATACTAATAATAGTTCTTAGTTGCTCTAATACTAGAGGTTATTTTAATCAAAGATAATAACACTGCTGAGACTACTCTCTTTCACTCTTAAGCTTCTTTTCTTACTTTCTCTTTCTTCTCTGCAAGAAAGATTATGCATATATCAGATTATAAGTGTTCAGTCTCAGATGACTTCTGCTGTTATTTATTCAGTTCTGTATCTTCTTCTCTCTCTGTTTCTTTCATCTCTGTTCTCTCTACTCTGACTTCTGATTCTGCAGGTTCTGTACTCTTCTTCAATTTTTCTACACATATGTGTACATATTTCTATATTAGCATTTCAGTCAATCTTGTGATAAATGACATTAATGTTGTACACAGAGTGATAGAGAAATCAGAGATATATACAGTGTTGTTATAAGAGTGGCTTACAGCTCTCAAATCTCTTACAGATCTTGAGTTTTGAGATTTTCTTTATTTTTAATGTTTTTCAGATGATGTGGTGTTGAAAATAGATTAAACATGTGATATATGAAAATGAATGAGATGTGTATAATAACATTTGACTCTTACAGTTGATAATCAATTCATTATCTCTTGAGTCATTTTCTTTTCTTTTCTTACACTTTTTCTTTGTCTGCTAGTCACTACTCTTACACAACCTCTATATAATACAGCATTCAGTAACTAGATTTAACAGCTTCTCATTTTTATGATTCTGTCTTATGTATTATACTGTCTCTCTTCATCTGCTTAGATCACTACAGTGAACAACTCATTGAAACTAATCTCACTTAATCTCTGAGCATTCTCAGAAGTTGAGATGACTTGATTTCACATATTTATAAATGTTTCAGATGATTTATTCTCTGTGATCTCTGCAATTGAACTGATATAAACAGTTAAATTCAACTCTGAATCTCTTTTTCTTCTGCAATCTGACTCATATATAAGTCTGCTATTTTGAGACTGCTCTTTACTGTGTTACACTCACTGTCTACAGTGTGTTATCATATAATCAGCTACAGTCTCATTACTTATTGAAGTATAATATTTATCTGATTTCTCTATTACTTCTCATTCTTTCCTTATAATTGTGAAAAGATTGAAATAAGTAAGATCATCTGATTTATAAGTGTCTATGATTTCTCTTACTTCATGAGACTTTTCAATTATAAGTCTCTTCTTTTTCAACACTGATGATAGTGCTGTGAATAATTATAATTCACTTAGATCTTGCATCTTTATCTTCATAAGATGTGAATCATTTATTAAGTTATATAAGACTCATCTCTCTGATTTCTTCAATGCATAAGTTTTTAGAGAATGTGATTTGAGTATTTTATAGAGCTCAAATTATCTAGGTTGAAACTTCTCAGAACTCTCATTGTGTATGAGAACTCATATTTCTATCTTGAGACTCAATTTCTTAACTAGTGAGTCTCATATTCTTTTCAATTGAATTGCTCAGTTCAGAAGTAACTTATTAGCTTTTGTATGTGTGTGACTGATCTCTTTCAATCTTGGTTTTGCATTCATAACTGTTGCATCTGTAACTATTATTTTCACTGCATTCACAACCGTTGCATCTGTAATCACTGTTTCCTTTCTCAATTTTTTTGAAGCATTCTCTGAGATGCGCGGATGCAATTCATACAACAGGTAGAATGATGAACACTTGAAGACTGCATGCTGTTAAATCTGTGTGACTAATAGCATCTATCTGAGATATTTATCTCATA